TGGGGTACTCCCGGGAGTCTGATAGAGACGCTGACTTGGGTTGCTTTGGGTTTTGTTTTGTCTTTGGAATAATTTTATAAATTGACAAAGACCGCATATATTTAGTTACTGTATAGCACGATGTTCTGATGTAAGTTATGGAAGGGCTCACCTGAGTTACTATGGCATCTTTTTTTTTGTTTTGTTTTTCTCCGGTACCGGGAACCGAACTCATGACCTTGCGCTTGCCAGGCAGGCGCTTTTGCCGCTGAGCTAAACCCCCAGCCCCATCGCCTGAGTTACTAAACCATCCTTTGCCTTAAATAGTGCAGGGGAGGGTGGGGGAGGGGGGTCAAGAACACTTAAAATGTAACCCTCGTGGCAATCTGCAACTATGCACTCTGTTATTAACTGTGGCTACAATGTTGCACACCCTTCTCCTCAACTCCTTCCTCCTGACTGAAACTTTGTATCCTTGCCCAGTTTCTGCAGAAACCCTCCATCCCACGTCCCCGCCTTCCAAGGTTTCACTGCGGACGTGGATTAATCCCGTTAGACCCGCACTTCGCCTTGTCCCCCACACGCCATTCTCTCCTTAACCTTCACCGAGCTGAGCTTCTGGGGGGCCTGGGGGGTATCCCTCCTGGACCTGGGCTGTCCTGTCCCCCAGTTACACCCCTGTACCCCAGCCAGCCCTTTAAGGCTGGATCAGATTCCTGCCCCAGTGTCCAGCTGGGTTTGTCTGGAGCTGCTTCTACGTCCCCTGCCTCCCCAGGGACTGGGGTTCCCCGGCGGTGAGGGTGGGGGTCCTGCCTCGGCCCTTCACGCCTGTGGACTCTCACTTGCCCACTGGCCCCACTTTAGGCAGAACTGTCCCGGCTTCACATCCCTGGAAGAGGTGCGGAGGGCCGAGACGCCAGCCCACTTCCAGAGGAGGGTGTGTCCCCAGCCTGTGAGGCTGAACCCCACCCAGCAGATGTGGTCTCCCCGCAGGACGGTCCCGGCCTCTCAGTCCCCACGCCGCCTCGCCAGGCAGGCAGAAAACTGCAGTCAGAGTCAGCTGGGTCTCAAGGTCACGGTGACCTACCAGCAAGGGCGGCGGCTGGTGGGGCGTGCGGCTCCGACGGGGAGCTGCCCTGCGGCTGCGCACCCGGACCAGGCAGCTGGGCCCTCCAAAGGCGCACCTCCTGCAAAGCGCCTGCCTCAGCTGGACTCAGCGCCTATTTTTAAATCTGGAAGGTGGCTGGAGAGCTGTTTAAGGAAAGCAAAACACCAAAACCAAAAAAAAAAAGAAAAAAATAAAAACAATTAAAAAAAACTTTTAATAAAAAAAGGGAGATGTATGAACGAAAGAAAAAGCAAAGGGCACCAGTGTTGGGTGAGTCCTTAGCCACAGAAAGCCTTTGATGTCTTTTAAAGGGCTGCATGGACAAGGTCGGTCATCCACATGTGATCCTACTGGCTGAATACTTGCCATATGGGCAGAGGACCTGGGGAGGAGGAGGAGGAGGAGGAGGAGGAGGCTGGGGGGGGGGGAGAGAGCAGCCAAAGTGTGTTTCCCGAGCACCTACTATGTGCCCCCAACCATTTTATATACACTGTCACTTGCCTAACCACAGTTCTAGGAGGGGGGAGGGGCTATTATTATTATCCTGACGATCTTTTAAAATTAAACAATGCACGCATGGTCCCAGGCATTGTCATCCTTGTTGCCTCAAAGTGTGCGCTCGCTTTTCTGTGATTTCTTCCTGAATGCCCTTCCCTAGTCACTGCACGCAGCGAGTTACCCCAATACTTAGTGGCGTAACAGCACTCAACATTTATTTTGCTGGTGAATCTGCAAACCGGTTGGGGCTCCGCCGAGGGAGCTTGTTTGTAAAGACTGCAGTGGTCTCACTGTCTTGGGTCAGCTTGGGGGGCTCGGTGTCGACAGGGATGGAACAGCTCTCTGCCCCTGTGCTGGAGGGAGCTGAGTCCTGGAAGCAGAGTCTTGCAAGGAACAAATGACCCAGCCAACATTGTCCAAAATTACTCAGCAGTTCCATTAGGGAGGAGCTGGAGGACAGATTTAGAATGGGACAAACGGATACCAGAGGCTGCTTTACAGCATGGGTCACCAGGAAGCTTGAGCCCAGGGTCCTGGCTCAGGGACACAAATTTTGGGAGCTCACTCACCTCAAACAAACGCTGCCGGCCCCATTACAGGGAGGCAGATGGAGTTCCGGTAGGCCCCCTGATATCAAGGGCCGGAGGGGAACCAGAGGTCACACGCCGTGGCCTGCAGCAGTGTGGTCAGTCTCCTCTTAAAGCAGACCTTAGCTTTATTTATCAAGATGGATGATTTGCTTTTCGGTGCTGGGGGTTGAACCCAGGGCCTCAGGTATGTTAGGCAAAGGCTCTCTGCTGAGCCACGCCCCCTCCGCTGAGCCACGCCCCTCAGCTGAGCCACGCCCCCTCCGCTGAGCCACCTCAGGCCTAGATCTATTTTTTTGTTGTTGTCATTACTTGCCAGTTCATTTACTTTTGTTTTTATCCTGATGTGGGTGGGTGTGTCTTTTAAGACGCGTTTCTGACATCTTATTTCTATTTTTCAAGCTTCTTCTGTTGACTGCTCATCTCGTTTGTATTCATTCTTTTTTGCTTAGTAATAAGAACAGGCTGGGGTGAAGGCCTCTGAACTCCGCCAGGCAGCTGGCTCATCTTTCCCGCAGAGAAGACTGCAGTTCCCGTACTCTGTGAGCCGTCATTTCTTTAGAAGGATGATTTTACTTTTAAGTTTCAAGGGGTTAGACTTTGAAAATAAAGGTATGATCTACATATGGTGCATTTTAAAAATTAATCGTTAGTAATTGGCATGTATATTTATTATACAGAGCTTTTACTATCTCAAAACACTTTCTGCTTGTGGGGGCTTATGGTTTTCTCCATACAGCCAGTGTTCACAAGTATTGCTTAAATGCTGGAAAAGAATGTGCTCAGGTTTTCCGTAAAGTCCGATGTGGATGTGGTTCAGGTCATGAGGCTGTGACGGGAAGTAATGTGCTCGTCCTTATTATACTGGAATAATGGAGGTGTGATGCACTGACCCACCGCATCTCACTGCCAAGGGCGCATCTGCCACAGAGCATCTCCCTGGGGCAGCAGAAATACCCAGGGCCACTGTCTTGGTTACTTTTTTCTTGCTGCTGGGACAAAATACCTGACGCCCAAAATTAAGGAGGGAAAGGTTTATTTCACTTACAGTTCGTGGAA